CATCCGCCTGTAGATGTACCGTCAGAACCCGATCTATATCGTGGCAATTTTTTAATATAGGTAATTTGAAGGCCTATACTGACAGCCTACCATGACAGCCCCATTCTCATTTTTTTCCACTGTGAAGTCGCTCGTCCCTCCGTTATAATTTGCTTTTATTCTCCTACTATTTCATAACGTTCAAGGCCTATTTTGAACCTTAGTTCTATCCGAACAGGCAGCTAATTCGATGATCTCATTGAGCGTTAATATGCTTCTAACATCCTCATGCAATCAGGAGCTGGGGTCGTTTCGTGATATAAAGGGAACTGAAGAGCTATCGTTTAACTGAAATAGATACCCAGAATAAATCACACACCTTGGCCCCACGAATTAAGCCAGAGGCCTAAACACACTACATTTTCTGCGTTGTGCCTCGTAAAGGAGCTTTTGTATATTACGAAACTGTTTTATTTCATGTCCTACTAGGTGATTAAAACAAAGAAGAACCCAAACCCCAAAAATTATATTTCATACTTTAAAACAAAGTTACGGCAAACATAATAATGACTGGAAACCAATGTCATAAGCTACTTTTAGATGGAAAAAAATACTGAAATTGCTCAATGCCTTCAAAGAATGTCACCATTTTTTATAAACACAATGACACTAAAAACCTCTTTCGTCCAAACATGCGATTTCAAGAATCGTCGTCACAATTGTCTTCAAACATCACCAGCCATATAACCTCAGTTTAAAAGTTATGAATATTCAGCAAAGTCCTTTTTGAAGGCCCGTTCTTTAAAAAAAATGGATTTTATAAATCATATTGTTTACTTAACCAGGGTTGTTTCAAACAGTCAGAATACACAATAAACTGCTTTTTTTCATTAGACGAAACAGGTTTTGGGGTTATTGCGTTTATATGGTGATATTCTTTGAACGGAATAAGACATTTTAGTATTTTTTTTTTCATCTAAAAGTAGCTTATGAAATTGGCTTTCCAGTCATTATTATATCTGGTGCTACATAATTTTTTTAAATATGAAATATATTTTGGGGGTTTGGGTTCCGCTTTTTTTTTTTACTAACCCTGTAGTTTGAAACATTTAGATCGACGAACAAATAGTTTATGCTAGCTATACCTAATTCAAATGCAGTCCAGATTTTGTCCAGTGAAAAGGCATGAAAGCTGTCATTGCTTGGTTAATTCAATCTTATAATGGTTAATTCAAATCACATCAATTTTCCTCTTAACATGTTCACTCGTTATTAAAACCGCGACCTTGTAGAAAACGTGAAGCATATTTACGAAAAACCAACAGTCGTGAAAAGGCATGACAGCTATCATTGCTTGGTTAATTCAATCTTAGAATGGTTAATTCTAATCACATCAATTTTCCTCTTAACATGTTCACTCGTTATTAAAACCGCGACCTTGTAGAAAACGTGAAGCATATTTACGAGAAACCCACCGTCGTTAATTAGAGAGGTTTTGCACACGTTTGAAGCGTGGCAGTAATATTTTATGGTTACACGTGACGTGGGCCTCATTTACACACTAATCAGTGAGGCCCGTGACTGTCAGTTTCATCATATGTTCGTAAAGGTAATAACTCAAGCCTAAAACTCCTCATAGAGTATTTAGCACCAGAAAAATGAGCTCATTACTTCGGACCAAAGACTAATGTATACGTTTTTTTGGCTCTAATACTATGGTGACTTGTTTTGACCGAGAGATCAACTTATGGTTAAATAGCATGAATTATACTTTCACCAACATAGCCCCAAAGACCTACCAACTTCTAGGAAAATATCTGCCTCTTTAATAGTCGGGCAAGATAACTTTGCCCAAATCCTCAGGGAACATTTTCTTAACAACTGGTTGTTAAAGTTGTCCGAACAATTGGGTAAAAACAAATTGAACTAAGTTGGGCTAAAACACGTGCCTCAATCCTTAAAGTAAATATTCCTAACAGTAGCTCAACGTTAGGAGCAGACACTTGGGTAAACTGTACCAAATCCTGGTAAAAACCATTTTACTTATTTTCGTTTACCCGATATTTTTCGGCGAACCAAGTGACTGATGGCAACACTTCCTTGTGCGCATGTACGTCCGCACGGACTTAGTTTAGTGTATGCAACCTAGTCCTCATGATTACCTTATTTTCGACCTCATTTCCAATAGTAACCCTAGTCCCTTGCACAACAATTAGGGTCTATGATATGCGGGCAGTTTCGGCGATTCGTTTTGCGGAACAAGGCTGCGTCTTCAAGTTGACCTCGAGATTCTGACCATTCAGCGGACGCCTTATATGGGGTCTTCGGTAACCCGTTGCTGTATCACAAAAACATGGCGGCCAAATTGACCAATCAACAGCTGTGTCCACAGTTTCTGATCGAAATGGTGTCACAGACGAATCCCATTGGCTGGCGCTTGGGGTCGCGTAAAATGTGCACGCTTACATTATATCAGACGTTGGATACGGGGAGGTGTACATTGAACACCTGATGATGCTCAGACCATGGGGTAGGTTTAATAAACCTAGACCTTTTGAAAATCATGTTATTGCTTTTTGAAGAAAGGGATAACGTATTGGTTTCAACGGGAGATGAAGAAACTTGAATGAAATCGAGTTTTTCAGAAAAGTAATCCTTGCATGAGTGACAACGCTATTGTGTTACTCCTGAATGTTAAAATAAATTAGAAGTGTTACACTGATTATTTTTACAGAACCCTTATTCTTTGATGTCTCTCTTGTCAAATGTATACAAGAACTGTGACAATAAATCGAGGTTCTATAGTCTGCTTTGACCTCCGTCAGTCACGATGTGTTTATAATCGGAAACGACCTCCACAAACAAAAGACCTTTCTCGTGGCACGCAATCTTGACAATCAAGCGAGGTAGTGCTTCCACTTGCAAGGAAATGTCCTTATGTAAAGTAATATTTACTTTCGAAGGATCTTCTAAGGAAATGAAAAAAAAAACTTGGGAAATATAGAGGAAATATAAAGAAATTCTAGGAAAATTATTAACTTGTGAGCTAATTGTACATTATTCTCCAAAATTAGTAGCAAATTCTGTTATATTCTCAAAAAGTGGTCGTTTTATTAGATATCTTGTCCTTTTAAGATTGACTTGATACAAGACTAGTAAAATAAAACTTGGCCTGACTATTGGCCTGAAACGTTAGGCGCCGTTCTGCTCCAAGAAATAGTTTCCACTCCAATTCACGGACAGCTTGCTCATTTGATCTAGTTACATTGTATCTGCTGTAAATTAGCAGGGGCTGGGAGATCATTTGAGCTGCCAAATCGTGGCACATAGATAATGTTTCAGCGATGCATCGGCGTAACGAACTGCTCGACATTTTGCTTCGCTTAGCACACATTAAACCCGTAATTTAAATGAAATCAGATAAGGGAATCCTTACCCTGGAGCATTTAAATGACGGTCCCATTTTTTGAGCTGTCTTAGCGCCTGAGCGGTGGCGCAGAATTTCAATTTCATCATGTTCCCAGGAGTATACGCCCTGATGATGAAACCTTATCAGTGTGACAGTATAATTGCAACGAATTTTAGAAGTCCAAGAGGTAGGTAGTGTGTACTCTGGTTCCCTATACAGACTCATAAACGCCCTTCACTAGAAGAGCTGAAAGGTTCAAATCCAGGGTACATCGGGCTAAAGTGGCGTATGTGATAGCCACTGTTTGAAATTCTCGTGTAGCTGTGCTGAGGAAAGCTTCAAGACAAATTTGAAAGGGGTTGTGCCAAGAAAATTGCCGAGAGACTTTCCGTTTTGGAAGGTAGCCAAGTATTGTTGCGGTCACCCGACTGACGCAAAATCAAAACGAGGAGTGGGGACTGGACACCGTCTGATTCCCCCCCCCCCCTTTAGCGACGCCCGTGGTGGTGTGTAAAGACGCGATGAAAAGGGACCCGTATGTAGACTGTCAAAGGCTTGTTGTGCCCCGTTCAGGAAAACTTTTTAAAAGCCAGTAAATTTGAATAAGGGAATAACCACGTGCTTGGCCGGTCTTAAACAAGTCCGTTTGAGACCGGCTGGGGATATGGACGCCGATAATGGCCGAGCCTTTATGTTTGGGGGAAAAAAACGCAGTGTGTAATTGGTGAGTATTTTTATTGGCCTTTTAGGTTAAAATTCAGATGCCTTATTTCGCCATTTGTGCATGGTTTCTCTGTATTATAAAAAGCACTTTTACAGCCGCTCACGTGAGACATCACCTTAGTAAAGGGTTAGTGAGCCGAAAAGGTAGGCACGGCAGAGTGAGCTGTGATCGGTCCACCAACGAGGGCATAGGTGTAGATCAAGCCAAGGAAAAAGCCGATAGGAAGACTCTCTGGGTAGTCAAGCGAATCTTTTTCAACAAGTGCAAAGATTGTTTGTCAAGTTACCTACACTTGAATGATAATGATACGCATCAAACAAATTGTGGCGATATCGAAGACAAATTAAATGGAGGAAATGCAATGCACAAAGCCTTTAACAGAGAGGTTGCCTAAACACCAGGCTAGCCAAATTTGACGGGCTGTTCCAACAAGATGAAGAGTACGCTGACAAGGAAGATATTGACGATTACAGATAGAAGTTTCAGAAAGACTATTGTAAATATAATCTAGCATTCCATTCTTACATTAATCTATTGTAGTTGTTTCATACTACATGTAAGCGTTGCATTGAGACCACTGATGATTTAATAGCGAAGGAAGATGGGGAAAATGGGGGACACGAATCAAAACACGGTGTTTCAGATCTTCATCATCATCATCGGTCGGCTGTGGAGCAGTCGACTACCAGTTTTCGCCATGCAGGTCTCTGTTGGGCTTATTCCTCCATAATGGTGGCTGTGAGGAAACCATCAAGGTCCCCCTTGATGGACTGCACAGAAAGGAGGTGCGTTGCCGCCCTGGTTGTCCCTTTCCCTCTTTGGTTGTTTACAGTGCATATGTGCAGGCTCTATCTGGTTCATGCGCAAGGTGCGGCCTAAGAAGTTCACCTGCTTACGGTGCACCTCGTTGATGAGTGGTTTGGCTTTGACTATGTTGAGGATGACGCTTTTCAGGATCCTGTCCGTCCGTTTAACGCCCAGCATAATGCGGTAGCATGAGATAGCAAAGGCATTGATATTTTTCTTCGTGCTGCTATCCACTATCCACACTTCGCATCCATACCGTAGAATAGATATACAAGTTGCCTTAAATAGACGTGTCTTGCATAGACGTAGCCAGCGGGGTTAAGGGGGTATTTACCCCCCCCCCCCCCATTATTTTGTAATGACTGCCTTTTTTCCATTCAAATGCCCTTTTTTCAACGGGCTTACCCCCCCAATAGTTCGTAAATAGTGCCCTTTTTTACGAAGTACCCTTTTATCTGAACAAGTGGCCCTTTAAAAAAAAAAGTGGTGCCCTTTTTGTGGCATCTGCCGTTTTGGTTGCCTATATTTCAAAAGTTCGCACATGTATCGCCCTGAAAAGCACCATATTTTGGCCCTTTGTGTGCATAATTGTATTGTCGGTTGGAACAGCGCCCCCATCGACAGATGGTTACCCCCCCCCCCGGCTGTTTGATTTTACGGAGACCAAGTGTCCTGAGAAAACATACTGTCTACATTTCGAATCAGATGTGCAAGTGCACCCCCCCCCCCCAATAAAAAAATGACCAAGCAAGACATTTCCGTCTCCTGAGGTCGGCTGTGCTCGATCCCATCATCGATCTTAAGAGAGAGAAAAGATGCCAATAAAGCAACAACGGTATTATACTATCTGTTTTACTATCTGTTTTTAGCGTTGTCTTTTTCTTGCGCTTTAACTATCTGGAAAACCCTGACTGGCCCAGTTGTTATTTTATTGTCTAAAAATGTAACATTTTCGTCGCTGTCACCTACATGTACATAGCGAGCAGCGTTTAGTCAGTCAACTTTATTGACTTTTTCACGTACGGATATACATGTATGAAGCTCCCTCGCTGCACTGACTCACAACTGCGCCGCCACTGACAGCCCATTGACCAATGTCCATAAATTGTCCACAGGATTATCTAAGGTCACAGGTGACCGCGTTAACCACCAATCTTACACCGTTCGTAGCAATACGTTCATACCTACAGCTGTGTGGTTGCGAAGGGCGATTTCTAAAGGTTTTGTAACACTTTATTGTGAACGAAACTACTTGTACACAGACATGTTCACGTTTAGTTCCGTGGGACGAGGCCTTTTTTCGCTCGTCACGCGGTCTGGTTCGCCAAATTTTATAAAACTTCACAGACATGTAGATTATGGTGTACCATATCCAAAAAACTTTGTTCCCGATCCACAGTTAGTTTGGGAATGAGAAACTCTGGTATAAAAACGCCGAAAATTCTGCATGAGAAATAAAAAAGAAACAGCGCCCCCTACATATTGACACAGTCAGAAACCTTTTTTTTTCACGTAATGCCGTCCGACTCCAAGTTCTGGCGGTCTTTATAATAGAGATCAGTGGGTCTGACGCGAGTATTTATTATTGTTCTCGCGATCGAACGGAGGGAACACGACCCACGAACACTGCACTCGGAACAGGAAATCACACCGCATGCACCTATCCGTCGTTGTTTGCAAGAATAATATACCCGGTCCCGTGTCAAGAACAATCAAGACCCGCCTAAACTTGGCCAATGAATTCTTCAAAGCTTCCTTCATATGCAAAAATATCACCTTTACAGTTTTGTCCAACATGATCACGTTATAAATTTCATCACGTTATAAATTTAAGATCGAATGTTAACATTGTTATGTATTTAGCTAAACATCGATTTGATGGTTAAACCACAGATCAGAATAATATTTTTCTGAACTCTTTTCTCATAGGGTAACATGTTTTCAAAAATAATATAAGTGTGTGGCATCTGGTGGAGCATCCGAACTTCTGAAACATCGTTAAAAAAAATGTTATGCCTGAAATTTAAAAAAATGTAATACAAATTTGATGCAGTCTCAAAAAAAGGAAGTGGGTGGGCCGTTGGGTTATTTGTGGCTTCATAGAATGGACGGAGCCACAACAAAATAATGAATCGGTTCTTTAAACAATATTCAGAATAATAAAAACGGTAAAACGGTTTTGGCTGAAACAAATTGCAGTTGTAATGCTGCCACTCACAGCTTCTAAATAGGGAAACATTAATTTATTTCCTCTTCTTAACAAAAAAATTGCAAACAATTTGATGAGACTTTTGATATGTTATACAACAATTATCTTATCGGCCTGTAATGTATACATGTGCTCATTTAGCTCGTTTGGGTAGTTGAAAACAAACAAGTAATGCTCATTCAGTACAGATTGAACAAACTTATGTAATTCTTTTTGTGTGGGTAATAGCTGTGCCCCCCCCCCTCCTGAAAAAAGAATAATTATATAAAAGAATGAATGTTATTAAATTATATAGGTTTTCCGGGCTATTCTATAACGTTTATCATTCGAATTCACCGTTTGTAATATTCATATTCGTCCATCACCGTCATTTAAGAGACATTTTAAAATTCAGTTGAAGCAAATTCAACAAAGAAGTATACGTTTTCGTAGCGGGGTATCGATTTCGTCTAATCTACGCCAAACCTTGTTTAATTTTTAGTCAGAAATTAAATTCGTCTAATTGATCTATATGCGAGGAATTCGATCTCTGAATGCTGCCATTCTGCAACAGCTTAGACGTATTTGATCTGTATTGATATTATATGGAAGATGTAATGTACCGATATCGGGCAAGCGCTCTTTGCGTGCGAAAGGGTTTCTGACTGTGTCAATAGAGGGCGGTGTTTCTTATGGTTTTTCTCATGCACAGTTTTCGGCATTTTCATCCCGGATTTTCTCACTCCCAAACAAACTGAGGATCGGGAAGCAAAGTTTTTTAGATATGGTACATCATAATCTACGTGTCTGGAGAGTTTTATGAAATTCGTCTGACCAGATCGCGTATCTCGAAAACTAAAGCATTTTCGGCCTCTCGTCCCACGGACTAGTTGGCGGGCGAAATCTTTGAAATTTGATTTCTCCCGTTTAGAAGACCGTATCTTCATGCAACTTTAAGGGGTAATTTCCCTGATAATAATCCAAGTATCTGCTTAAAAACATTGTGATATGTTTATTACTTTTTGTTGAAGTTGGAAAAATAGACCTGAGTAGGTGCCGTTTTGAAAAAGTAACACTGGCGTTTGCAATATCTGTCAATCTATTCACGACTCACGAATATTAATAAGGTTCCTATCCATTATGGTGTACAGTAAAACATTTGCAGAAAAACCCCCTTCACGAGTTATTAATTGATAAATATCACCCATTGGTCAATACCGAGACCAACGCAAAGTCACGCCCAGCTATAGGAAACGGTACTCGGTTCCTTACCCTAACCAATTCCATACTCACTCTCATCCATACAATATGTCAATCTGTACCCGGATTGTTTTACGCCTATATAGTTAAATATTCATATCATACTTTCTTATTCATGTGACCGATTCATATCTCTTCAGAAAAAAAGGTCAAACTGTGCCAGGAAGTCTACCTACACTAACAGGCACAGTGGGCACTGTGCCTATTTGATAAAGCGGGCCTGTCTGTGACGTCGGCACGAGCTGCCGCGCGAGGTCGCTATACGACGGTTGACAGCTACAGCTGTGCAAAACATAAGCAAGTGCTCGGTCGCAGGCACTTACGAAGTGAGCTGAATGTTAGTGAGCGACTCAAAATCATGGATCAAGCTAAGGGGAAATCTTGAAGGAGAGCCAAGCTACAGTTTTAATGTGATGTTTGTGATGTAATATATCAACTTTGATGGCCCATCCCCATCTCTCTAAACACGAGCACATTTCATTCAAAAGGTCAGGGGAAAATGGCCAGGAAACGCCTCAGATTGCACCACGGAGCATCTAGAATACAAATATTTCCTGGGGCCCTAAAGCGGGTCCTGGAACCCACACCTTTAGGGATTCGCGCTCGCATATTAAAAGTTCTACTTTAGGATTTAAAGACCCCCCCCCCCCCCCCCCCCCCCAGCCAAGTCTGGGGTCAGGGAACGGGTCAAAAAAAGGTATGCGCCCAGGTACTGAGCGTGTAAACGTAGTTTTTTTGACGAGACAATGTCAAAAACTTTGCAGTATGATACTGGCCAAATTTTGACGATTGACTTTTGAAGTTGAACTTATCTCACTGAAAAATTAATTCCATTCAAAGTAGGCAACATAAATAACCATAAATACATATAGAAATTAGAAATGGAGTTAAGGGATTTTTTGCATGAATGTCTATCAGCAAATTTCATGATGTCAACCCCCCCTCCCCCCCCCCCTCCTTTCAAAATGGTCTTGCGACGCCCGTATCTACAACTATTTACCGCTGATTGATATGATACATGAGTCGGTTATTAAAATGAACCAATATTTATTGAGAATGTCAGTGTGAAATTGATAGTGGTAAAAGCAAATCATATGATCACTTGGGAAAATACTTTTATGTTCGTGGATACATCTAGTGACGAGTACTTTCTCACTATTATTGAACTTTGAGTGTGAAAGTGTAACGCAGTAAGAAATGCACCTTTACACGTTCAACCATGGGCGTCGCGAAGGGGGGGGGGGGGCAAGGGGGGCAGTAGACATGCCGGAGATGTCTACTGCAAAAAGTGTAGAGGAGATGTTGTGGCTAAGCTGGCATCACCCAAAGCGCTAACCAACGGAGCTAAAACATTCATCCCAAGGAGACCTGGAACTAGTTGTTTCTCCTTCTTGATGTCAACATCAACTGGATCGCGGACGACTAGAAAACCCATCTGAGGCAAAATGATCCCATCACAATTCAGGTCTAACTCTAAATACCCAACATATGGTATCTCCAAGCCATTAGCAGCTGTGATCCGCAAACAGGGGCCGTAAGACCTCAACTCGGTACCTTTTGGTTTCAGATGGTTCAGGAAAAACTCTTCAGTTACAGTAGAAACCATTGACCCCGTGTCAAGGAGACACTTTTGTCTCAACAGTCCCTAGTCTAAGAGTGAGTGTGGGACAACTACCAACAACATTAGAGGTGGAAGGACTCGCTTCAGCAAAACAAGAACTACAAAAAGGGTCCGTAGTTTCCCTCTCTTCGAAGGGACCCTGGTCCGAGAGAGGAGTTAGTTTCCCTGACTTGGAGGGGATTTCGTTGCTTTCCTCAACTCTTCTATCGTACCATGTGCTTCTTTGAGTTGTCGCTTGAAGCACCTCTCTGCTGTGTGTCCTGCCTTGCTACAAAATGTACAAGTTACCTTCGTCTGCTGTCTGCCAGTGGAGTTATTGGGCTTGGCTTGGGCTAATTGCTGGACAAGGGTAGTCAATTCATCCAGTTGTTTCTGCTGATGATCGATCTGCTCTTGTTGTTTGACCATGATGTCAAGTAATGATCTGGCACTCGGTTCTTCTTTTGCAGATTGTCTACTGATGGTCACAGGATTGGAAGAAGAGGCAGCCCCCTCACTCTCCTCAGCCCACTCGATGGCTTCCGTCCTCAAGGCAAAGAAGTCGATGCCAGGTGAACCACGAAGCTTACTTTTCAAGTACTTTCGAAGTAGAACATCGTGGACCCCCTCTGCAAACTGGTCTTTTAAGAGATGCTCTCGCTTCTCCATGAGCTGAGGGCACTTCCTGGCAGCCTTAGTGAACAGGTCAAGAAGGGAGTGAGAAAAAGATGTTAAGGACTCTTCCTGTGTCTGCTTCCGTTCAAAAAATGTCCGTTGCAGACGAACAGATGAGCCATGATCCCCAAATGTGTCTCGCAAGACAGAAAATAGTGCTTCCAAACTACCTACTTTGTGGTATTTGACCTCCTCTCTAGCTGAACTAGTTAGATACTGGAGGGCAAAATCTATTTCTGCCTTCTTAGACAAGGGTCGGGCCTTTACAGCAGTACTGACATCATAAATCCAGTCCTCTAACTTAATATCTGAAGATTTTCCAGAAAAAGACTGTAATTTCTTTTGGCTAGGAACCAACAGATAAGTCGGACTTTTGACTTTGGAAAATTCCTGTGTTTGATGGAATAAGGAACGCAAGTCTTCAAGTTCATCCATGAGATGTGACACACTAGGACCTCCTTCTGCCCCCTCCATTTCCTTAGGCATGACTAGTGTTATGATAGGAAAACCTGCTGCTTATTGGGGATAAAAGGTTAATATATGTACAAAAATATGTGGTTTTGCTTACAAATGCCTGTACGCAGCAAGCGCAACCTAATATGCAACCTTAACGCTTAGCAGCAGTGCACTTACACAGTCCACTAAGTCTAGAACCCAAGCACGGTAGATCACGTGCAGCTAGATGACAGGTGAATCACGGGGTGGAAGAAGGGATGGATGGCATGAACGTAGTCACCCAAGTGGTAGTATGTCCCAAATCTGCATGCACAGAAAAATATAAATGAAAAGACATCTGCCACAGGGGCATTAAAATGTTCACACCAAAAAGACTTGTGACAAAGCTCAATAGAGACTATGAAGAATAATCAAGAATTCCAAACACTTAAATAGAAATTCCAAAATTTCCAAAAATTCCAAAGGTGATACTGAAATGCTATAAAACAGCAAATCTAGAGCTAAGGTCACTGAACACCAACTCTTAGAATGTTATGAGGAGAGACAAATTCTTGAATGCTCCTTAAATTGCTATAAAAGAGCGAATTTAGAGCTAAGGAGCAGGTTACTATAACACCAACTCTCTAGAATATTATGAGAAGAGACAAAATTCTTGGATGCTCCTATTCTATATTAAGTGCTAATTTTACAAATGCAGTATACAAATGACAATATAAATTTTCTCACATAATATGTACAATTTTGTTTTGTTCTTTGTCTTTTTTCTAGGTTTTCAGAGAACAATAATAATGCAATGAATTACAACAAGCAAGAAATATTACCACCACCAGCAAAAATATGAAAATGCAGCTCCTACAGCCCGCTCCAGAGACCAATCGTCGCTGTCAGATCGATGGACGGCTACCAAGATGGAAGGAGTCTGGATTTCGCCAAAAGAAGACAGTTCAGTGGGGTCAATTGGCAGCAGATGACCACTCCTGCAGTCCACTCTGGAGGTCAGTCAGTGGTTCTCTGGCGGTGGGCACCACCAAGAAGACGCAGTCAATTGGACGACCGCAATGACCAGTTCAGGAAAAACCGCCCAGATGCAACATGTACAGTCCAGCCGGAACAGGATTCTGTGCTTCAGCGGTGTCTATGGCAGCACCAGAGTCTCTTGGAGAAAAATGTGTGTCTTCAAGATGGCACCAAGTAAGGAAGGCGGCAGGAACCTGGGCCGGTACACCCCTCCTTAGTCAACCTGGTCTGGTACCCAACCTCCGCTGGGCCTACTATGCCGATGCTGAGCTTAGCCTGGACTCCCAATCGTCATGAGCAGAACGACGCCACAGCTAGAGCTCCCGGTCTCATCAGTGCCAGGCGAATTCCCTATATATTTGACTGTCGTTTACCCTGATTTAATTTATCTAACTTCGCTCCCAAATCCAAAATAAAGTGGATAGCAAAGCTATCCTGCCGACTACGCCAAGTGTAACCGGGGAGAGTGGAATTAGTTAGTTTTTAAAATGTGGCACTCTCCTTATGTCCGAGGGGTTCCACTAAAAAATGATTTGGGTAGAGCGAATGTTTTCTGTTGTCTCACAAATATGAAATGGTTTATTTACAGTACAAATAGAGACAATTAGGTATTTACACAAGAATTATATTAGAAACTTGGTTGGGTGTATAAAAACAGAACTTTGTTGGGTGTATAAAAAACGACAGTCAAAAGGGAATGGGCTAATGAAGTAGCTCCAAGGATATTATCTGAAATGCATAAAAACAATAAATGTCTAATGAATTATGTAAATTACTGTGGCATAAAATGATTGTTGCCCAAACAGCAGAATTATTTAAATGGAATTATGCACGAATATGAATATTTTATATACATGTAGTGTAATTTTAAATCCAAAAATAGAAATGAATTATTCACCAAGTTATGTTATAAAATGAAATCAGAATATAATACCATGCCCTAATAACAAATTCCCGAATGATCATAGCAATAGAAAACTGATAGTTTTGGGGAAATGGGAAAAGTCTATTTCAAAAGATAAATGAGAACGTAACTATTATGGCAACACTAAAATTTAAGTTGAAGTTAGCGTACTTGTGTTGCTCATAAGTTCCAATTTGTGTTTGTTTCAAAAGGAAAATTTGAAGTTCACAAAAATAAAGTGCTTGATATCATTGTTTTCCGAAATGCCGAAAAATAGTAGGAGATTGTGTTAAAATAAATGGACGGTGTTTACCCGAAATGTTTAAAGTATAAAATAAAGTCAACAAAAAATCCTTTTTGCCATCTCATGCAAGAATTAAATAGAGAATCATTAAAATCATTCTCAAAAATACTTGCAAATCACGACGACAGATTTGTTTCAAAAGTTAATAATCAGTCGTGATTACAAGACAAATTTCCGGCCGTGTCCGTTTTGACGGCCTTTAATTCTGGCAATAAACCAACATACAAAAGACCAGAATGTTTCATACATGATGGCATAAAAAGATTTTAGGCATAAAAATGTTTTAGGCATAAAAATGTTTTAGGCATAAAAATGTTTTAGGCATAAAAATGTTAAATATCAGACAAGGGATTTACTCACCACTTGGGAAGATCTACGTTCATGCCTACTCCGATGTGAAAATCGACGATCAGCAGTGAAAATACAATGTAGATGTAAATATTTTACTGCTATAGGGAGCCTCTCTCAAAATTGTAATAAAAGTGAAGAGTGTAAGCGCTCGTAAAAGATGGTCTGAATTCAACGATGTGTTGGATCGAAATCAACAATATTCCGCAGCAGGCCCTACAAGAAAACTATACCGAAACGCCCGGAATGTCAACTATTCCTCTTAAACAAAGCGCGTTGGAATGCAAAACTTGCACGCTCGCTACGCCCATCGCATAGTTGAGCCAAATTCTAGGCGGCGCGCGCTGTTAAAAAAGGTTTAGTTGGCCGCGAGAGGGCGCTAGGCAAAAAGCATGATCACAATGGCTGCTCACATGTAAATCTACACAAACACGAAGTTACAAAAGTTTGGTATGAAATAATGCTGGAGTAAGGAACCAGTCGGGGAAAAGTAAGTACTGCAACCCGACCTGGTTACATACTGATCAGTTGTAATTCGAGCAATATGTGCCCAGTAGTTTTTGAGTTCGACAAAAAAGTATTTTGGTTGAGTGTAGTACTGTATAAGCAGAGTAGGCATACAGAAAATCGGACAGCCAGGTGAAAAAGTTTGCCAGTCAAGGTTCATGTGAAGTTAACAAAGGCAAAGCCATGGGGTTTTCCCAAATTTATTTTGCCAGGGACTTCTTTTGATAGTGCAAGTTTCACGAGTGTCCTTTTTGTGAAAACTATTATACTACAGTAGTCCCTTGACAAAGAGCACTGCCCTGAAAGGACTTTCGAGTCCACAGAATATATACCGAATTTCTGAATATATCTTTTATATTATATTTGAAAACAAACACAATTGCGTGTGCATTGACCGGTCAATGACATCCGCATCGGCCCACCTATAGTATTATTCTCTAAAACGCTATGCTTAACACTAATAAATTATTTTCTGAGGCGCTTGCGCACGCGCACCTGAAAAGGAATAAATTACAGCAATAAAACCTTTGTGATTAGGAATTTTGCTTTATCGCATCAGCCCAGGGCCGATTGAACTAACCGTGCAAGTGACTTGAAAGGACGACGTCATCACTAACGTTAACACCGCTATACTCACCTAATAACTAAAGATGGCAATTACTTGCCATTTCTCATCTAATTATACGGTTTTGTGAGCAAATCGTTTCCTGGTAGTTAATGCACAGGTAGATAAAGCTTTTTGGAAGTATCCTCTGTAACTTTAAATGGAAAAAAAAATTGAAATTGTATTTCATAAAATTGTGTATGGCCTGACTATGCATGTGGCATGCGAAAAAGCGTGAGCGACACGAACGCATTCTAGCCTATAATGGGCGTCCAATTCTATGACTTATCTCTCTACTGTGCTTCTACTTCTTAAGAAAATATATTAGTGCAGGTGGTTCCGTCTGTTCTGTTCTGAAGTGTGCAACCAAGAAGTAAATTCCCATTGAGATCAGTGAAACATCCCAATGGTCTTCAGTATTCTTTTGAAAATACTCCAAACTTCAAATGTTTCAAGCTGCACAGAAAAACTATGATCAACGTGTTTCATTTTCTGTTCAAGGTTTGGTGGGTTGACCGATGACTTTTTGAGAAACCCTCAACCAAAGAAGACCACCCCTAAAACGAATATTCCCCAAACTGGAAAATAGCCAATTTTGAAGAAGGATTCCTCCACAACATGGGCGAATGGCGCCACTTTCAAATCCAATTGCATCCAAAGAATTGGAAGCCCCAAGTCCAGGCCAGAGGAGCAGTGCCTTATGTCTTCCACCCCCAAATTCCACAGCTCTCATCTTTTGCAATCTACAACTTTTTATGGAATTATTTGTATTTGTGGGATTATGTCAAAGGCAAGGTCCAGGGGGCCAAAAGATTGCTGTGCCGGAAATATGTCCCGGGGCTGTTTCCTATTCATGCCCATCGCAATTTCTATAAACTAGTTCAAAACCACTTTTGAAAGTTGCTCCATTGTCCTCCCTTTATATAAAAGTCTGTGAGCGGATGAAAATCGTCACAAGTCCAGCGTTCGGCGGGCGCTGAGGCCGTTCCTCGTTTTGCGACGACTAAACGGAGGGCTTACTTTACCATTTTGACAAGACCTGGGCCAATTGTTGGGTTGGTCCGCGAATATGCGTCGCCGACGTAGAGCGACTGAGATGTTGCTGGCCGCATTGTCTATAGTTGCAGTCGTCATCTCATTCTCAGATGCTCAAGGTAAACCATTGCATTTTTCCTCTCCCCTCAAGTAATTAAATATGGTAATGATGTCCCCGGCCTTCCGTGGCGCAAACATGGGCGTCGCGAGGGGGAGGGGGGCACTCCCGATGCAGCGTAGTATGAACGAGTCCTATTTATTACGTCACGATTTACTATGTTTTGTTTGCAGCACCCAACGACGACTTCTACACAAATTGTACGTTCGGGTCGAAACAGGACCTGAAAAACAGCTCTCAAATGTACCTTTTGTACTTATTTCATGACAGACACAATAGTCGTTTTTATTTCATCACACCTTAGGCAACATATACCCGAAAAAGGACGGAAATTTCTTAGAGCATTCCACAACCTCTTTAAAATCGGACTCGCTTTTAACAAAAGATAATCAGCAGGTGGGTATGTCACTCGCGTTAAAATTGGCTGATGGCATGTTGACGGATTTGGCCGTAAAACGTGTCATTGTAGTTACCTATACACACAAAAATCAAGAAAGAGCTTTCATATTTTAAGGGCCTAGCTGTCATTGTGTTATTTCTAGACTGCAAACAGGCTAATATGTATTTCTGTAACTAGTAAATAAAACAGGAAGGTCTTTTAGCATGTGCGTTTGTTAGAACTCTTCAAATTAACATTTCAAAACAAATGTTCTCCTATCGAACTTCTCGTATCGAAGCAGTCTAACAAGGGGCCTTTAGAATCATCTTTGACCATGACTCAATTCAATGTTAATTTTTAGCCACCACCTGAAGATGTATACGGCTGATGCGCAACATCTAGAACGTGGGCCATATTCAAGACTACTTACTTTTAAATAAGTTCAGATCAACAGATTAACATTTATAAGATATGTCTGAGTAATTTGGATAGAGTACAAGATCCCAAAGATCATTTAATCATGGTAGTTTAAATAATTTTGATACAACCGCATCCTCCTTAGCAACAACACTTTGGAGCCTGATTAACTTACTGACAACAAATCTACAACAGAAATGACCAAGCAGTTGTATTTCTGTACAGGTAACCTTTTTGGGATATTGAAATGGGGAGTTATTTCGGTTACCTGGCGGTAGACTTTGATACCAGCAGAAGTAAGTTCATGATATCACACAAGAAAATGTAAAAAATATGACGTATGCTCGCAATAAAACTGCCAAATGAATGTTTAATTAAGAATTATTTGCTTTAACTGATTTCACATTAATAAAAGAACCCAAAGGGATACCTCTGGGAAATTACGATTACATTTCCCACCTCCAGGACCATGTGATTAAAATAATTAAGATGCTCGTTGCCTAGGAACCAGCATCATTATTAGCAACAACCTGATTAACCTCCTTGAAATGAATCTACAACAGAATCACTTTAAAGTGTTTAATGGGTTTTGAGAAAGGTTACACGTTAGGGTATCCGAACCTGGATATTTTTCCCTGGCAAGTATGTTTCTTTCAGACTTCGAATAGTTAAATATCACAATATCCTTATGAAAACATTCAAATAATCACGTACAGGATAAAAACAAAAGTGCCAAAATGTGCCGAAATTGTTACCACGCCCACCTGGGGTCAACATACAAACGTCACAATTGAGTCAGAGTTTGCATGTTGGAAGGGAGTTCCAAAGCAAAAATTCTTCGTTTTTGATTCCTAACCTGACCACTTTCCCAAAAAAATTTTATGCTTATCCAAAAAGAGTGACACCGTGTAATAAAGAAAGTCTTTATTAAAACTGCACCTATTAGGCCAAAAAAAAGGTTTTGGTTTCTGGTATGGAGCTTGCCCAAAAAAAGTGGTGCGGCGACGCGGCTTTTTTTTTTTTTTTTTACCTGACTTTTTGGCTTCAAATGCCGTGTGATGACTGCAAATGGTGCCCGACTAAACTTAGTACAAATAGGCCTATATGGGATTGGGAGTCCAGAGAGGCCACATTATTCTTATTAGCTAATTCTCGACCATAACTCCATCTAAAACATGTTAAAATTGTGCAGCAGCAGGATTCCAGTCGAACCAGTGAGTTTGGCGGTTTTGAGACATCATCTTTCATTGAGAAAAAAACTTTTTCATTTTGCCGACGCGCATGGCTACAGCGACGCGCGCGCATACCAGAAACCGGAGACTTTTTTTTGGCCTTAAAAAAACAATCGAATTGAGGTTACTATTTACGTACATCACCAAAAAAAACACTTGGCAAGGGATTCCAACCCATTGTTACAAGGGATCATGTTACAAAGCAAACCCACGACAGGAAGTAGAAATCAGATCACTGAATACATCACCAGGAAAAAATGCACTGAACAGTTAAAAATAAAAACCTGCAGTGGTTAAAAAAAGAAGTCAGATTACCGTACGTGTTGTATACATCACCAAAGAAGAAAAAATAGCCAGGGTTTTCCTTGTGGCTGGTAACCCATTGTAATTAAAGAATGTTAAAATAAAACACTATGAGCAGTTCTAAAAAAAGAACAATTGAACTGATTGCTGAATACATCACCGTGAAAAAAAAGGCATTAGGTTCTCCTACGGGTGGTTAACCCATTTATTCATTGTACAAAGTGCACAAAATGGTCCTCTTAATCCATTGGTATACGCAAAAGCAAAACCACTGTAGGTATTAAGATGAACAAAAATAATGATTACAAAATGAAGAATGTTTCCTTTTGGTTGTGAAGCCTTTGGTTTAGAAATATGATAAAGACGAGCAATACAGGAAGCGTTCTAACTAAGCAAAGATCGGAATAACAAAAGAGTCATATTAAACAGCACGAGTCTATCTAGCTCCACCCCGTATTAGTGAGAATTATTGTTGATACTCTATTTTAGCACTCAAATTATCAGTTTTATTTGCAAAAAAGAACGTGCAGAATTACTAAAATGATTGATAACCATATCGTTCCCCACATGAATTGGTGGTCGATATGTAAAAGTAGGCCACCGGGCCAGTGGGCCGCCGGAGTCAGACTGGTTACACTGCTACATGTATATTCCGAAACCCCTATCTTCCAACCCCCCTATTTCCCGGCAATCCTATTTTCCGACACCCCCATGTTCCGACTGCATATATTCTTATCCCTATCCCTAACCCTACTTCTTACCCTATACCTAACCCTCACCTTAACCATCATATGCAGGTTGTCGAAAAATAGGGGTGTCGGAACATAGGGATGTTGGAACATAGGTTTAGTAGTCGGAAGATAGGGGTGTCGGAAGATAGGGGTGTCGGAAGAAAGGGGTGTCGGAACATAGGTTGAGTTGTCGAAACATAGGGTCGTCGGATCATAAGGGTGTCGAAACAAAGAGCAGTCACCGTATAAAAACTAGCATTTGCTTTTACTACCTATTTTTAGGCATTTACTTGCATTTGTAAGAATAAAAATTAACCAAATGCTTTTACTGGAAAGCATTTGCTGAAAGGTAAAAGTATTTACTTTTTACTTTTTAGCTTTTGCTAAACTAGAAGTGTTTACTTCATTTCGTATGAATAAAAAGGGGTAAATACTTCAGATTTTAAGTATTTACTGGTCATTTTTGGGAGTCCGCTCATAAGTCCGACACCTCATAGATCCGACGCCTCATATGTCCGAATTTTTGGACTTATGAGGTGTCGGACTTATAAGGCGTCGGACTTTTGAGGCGTCGGACTTATGAGGCAAAACATTTATTTGTTCCGCCTCATAGGTCCGACGCCGCAAAAGTCCGACGCCTCATAGCTCCGACGCCTCGAAAGTCCGAAACAGCGTTTGTCCATAGTGGGACTTATGAGGCGTCTGACCTGAGACGCGTAATTTATGCCTCATAGGTCCGACGCCTCATAAGTGCGAAAATTCGGACTTATGAGGCGTCGGACTATTGAGACGTTGGACTTATGATTCGGCCGTCATTTTTTTTAAGGCTGAGTTGGGGTAACCTTGAAAATAAAATCAAAAAAATCTGCGCAAACCTACTACATTTATTAATATTAATCACCCCAAAATTAACACAACAATACAAAAAATATAAAATATAAATCTAACAATTATTATAATACATATGATACGATAAACTGTATTTTGAATAATATTTAGGCTAAATTTAAATATTGTTTTATTGTTGATTTTATTACTGAAGGAAACGATAATTTTGCGATTAATTCACGATATGAGAAGTGTTAGCATAAAGGTCAGTGCGGCATAGAAAGTTTAAGGATAAATTTTATTCAGCAACAACCTGGGGATTGAACAAAATAAAGGCTATTTTTCTCCGTTTATTAGGTCACCAATCTTTGCAAACTATTATTTGTTTTAATATATCAAAAAACAAAACTGTTTCTGTATTGAATGTTGGCATGATTTCACCCGCTTTAACACATGTCTGTGATTTTTATGCCATTTAAGGACACTGTTGACTTTTACAATTTTCATGAATGATGAAAGTATACTTTCTATATTCTGCAACTGGCAAAAAGTGTCATGATTTTGCTGGATTTGAGGACCAATTGTATACTATTTGCTTAAACTTCCTAGCATTTGCTAGTTTTTATTGCTAGTTTTTATACATGTCTAGGGTTTTTATACATGTCTAGACCCAATGTCTAGGTTCCTATATTGCACCCATTCGAATTAGGTGTCACTCTGTATCAATGCCTGGCTACTTGGAAATGTATAGTGCCTGGGGTATGTTTTCATACCTCCATGGTAACCAGAGACGCGGACATTTGTTTGAGCAGGCCCGAGACAAAAGCAGGGGATTTCCCAGCACAAGTACTAGTAGCGCCATTGTCCAGGTTCCCATTGTCTGGGGTTTGTTTTCATATGTCCATGGTAACCAGAGACGCGGACATTTGTTTGTGCAGGCCCGAGACAAAAGCAGGGGATTTCCCAGCACAAGTACTAGTAGCGCCAGTGTCCAGGTTCCCGTTGTCTGGGGTTTATTTCATATCTCCATGGTAACCAGAGACGCGGACATTTGTTTGTGCAGGCTCGAGACAAAAGCAGGGGATTTCCCGGCACACGCACTAGTAGCGCTTGTGTCTAAGTTCCCCTTATTTGGGGTTGTTTTCATATGTCCATGGTAACCAGAGACGCGGACATTTGTTTGAGCAGGCTCGAGACAAAAGCAGGGGATTTTCCGGGAATCCCACAAGCAGCGCTTGTGTCTAGGTTCCCGTTGTTCGGAGTTTGTTTTCACATCTCCATGGTAACCAGAGACGCGGACATGTTGTTGGCGCTGGCTGGGCATAAAGTTTTAGGGCTCGAAATTAGTGGTTGCCGTAGCCCGCTAGCCAAATGCTAGTCAAAACAGCGGCGGGCTAGTCAAACTATTCCTTAAGTACCTCGGCTGGCGAGTCCAAAAATTATTGGGATACGGCAAAGATGAAAGGACAGGAAGAAACAGTCCATGAAATTCAGAAAGCAAAGAGTATCAATTTGTGTACAATTTTATGAACTGTTTTAAAGGGTTAGATTATTAGATCTGTTCATAAAAAAGCACTGACAAAATTGCCTCAGAAAAGATGAGAAATCTGTTCGACATGGGTGAAAACGAATTTTACTCAGCCTACAACCTATTTTCGTTCCTGGAAAAGGTCGCCTTGTTGGATCGGGGGCCGCCTGGTAGTCCGAAGGTCCGATGGTCCGAAGGTTCTTTAGTCCGAAGGCTCGATAGACCGAATGCTCGAAATGTCCATAAGAGGGGGTTCGTTAGTCCGAAAATGAACTAAGGTTCGTTAATCCGAACATTTGATGCAATAGGCCGAAAGGTTCAATAATCCGAACGTTCATTAGTCCGAAGGTACAATTATCCGAAGGTTCGGTAATCCGAATTTAGAATAAGGTTCATCAGTCCGAAAGTTCAGTAGTCCGAAGATCCATTATTCCGAATTGACAATAAGGTTCGATGGTCCGAAAAGACTATAAGGTCTGATAGTCTGAATCGACAAAGTGTCAGACTGACAAACCGTACTGTCCTTTCAGACTATCGAACCTTATTCTCAATTTGGTCTATCGAACCCTACCGTATATTCGGACTATCGAACCTAATCATCTACTCGGACTATCAAACCTTATTCTATTATAGGACTAATGGGCCCTACGGACTTTCGAACCTTCGGACTATCGAAACTTCGAACTATTGAACCTTCAGACTAACGAACCTTCGGACTAATGACCCTTCCGACTAAAGAACCTTCGGACTATCGAACCTTCGGACTATCGGGCTGTAACCGTTGGATTACGTCTGTTTTCACTTCGCGTACTTGCGCACGTACGTAAATGATAACAACGCAAAGATTTACCGATTGTAGATTTATTCAAGCTCGTTTGGATAACATTTTAATATAGTTCTTATCAATGGTCTTTATCAATGGTCTTTTTAGATTTGTTTGTAAATGAAAATAAATCTTTCAAGTGTATTAAAAAAATGTCTGTCCAAAAAAGACATTTGATTCTTCCGTTTAGGTTTTTACCAAATGACAGCCAAAAAAATATTTCATAAATGTTCATGCTTGAACGGGTGATCGAGTTCCACGAGTCCACACAGAAGTTTTTGGAAGTGAGAGGTCAATTTTTGGCACGATACATGTATTTCTCTTTCAAGTCATGCGATTTTTCAGTTTCCATACAATTCCCAGGGTGATAATAGAAAAACAATATGCCGGCTAGTGAAAGAGTCTGCCGGCTAGTTAAGAGTCTGTTTTAGTAGCCCGTCTGGCTAGTGAACAAAAAGTTTAAGGCCGAACCCTGGTTTATTAACCCTAAAAGGGCCGGGGGCGGAATCCCCCTCGGCTTTTTCCACGATAGGCTTCAAAAAAAAATCGCGACTCGAGCTGTTATGACCTTTTAGCCTCTAGCCTTGTGCATCTCCTGATACCAAAAACAATTTTAAAAAATGCCCACGCTACGCGCCGTGAAAACTGAATTTCCTATATACGTCGTGTACACGGAGCAGAATTCGTACATATGAATAATAAATTAGCAATAATTCCCAAACCCCTTAACCTATGGTCATGAAATTTCTAGGGTATGTTTATGAAGAGTTGTTCTATGCATGTACTTCGTTTTTAAAATGTTCGTCCCTTGGTGGCCAAGATCTTAGGAGGGGAATCCCCCCCCCACCCCCCGGCTGAGAGATGGTCAAAATAACCCGGCCCTTTTAGGGTTAAGACACTCAAGGAAATAAATAAATATACCGGCTAGTTAAAATGTCTGCGGGCTAGTTTAGAGTCTGTGCTCCTTAGCCCGGCTGGCTAATGAAAAAAAGTTCAGACCGAACCCCGACAATGGTTTGGGATTTCCAGGCACACGCACTAGTAGCGCCTTTGTCTAGGTTCCTGTTGACCGGGATTTGTTTCCATATCTCCATGGTAACCAGAGACGCGGACATTTTATATGAATATACCTTGCATGGCAGAGATAGTCACAAGTTTAAAACTTGGGTCATGAACAAAAATGGCATTTACAAGACTGTGGAAATCTTATTAATATCCATAGGTAGGCTGTGGTTTTACAAAGGTCATGATCTCTCGTAAAATCATGAATTGAGTATGTAAATTTCGTTAAACTCTCAAAGGTCACCGAAGGTCAAATATGAAATGCCTCTATATCTGAAATTTTCCTTTATAGCATGAAGAACCAGCCTGCAAGGTTTCATGCTTTTATCATCACTTGCACAATCCTTTAGTATATTGGGGCTACGCCGCACCACTAGTGTGAAATTGTGGCACGTGAACAATTTATGTTATACTTCAAAAGCATGTGTATAACACACTTTTTTCACTCCCATTTGCAGAAATCCAAAATGTTACCATCGCAGGAAATGCATCAACCCGAATAATTTCACCCAACTTCCCGTTCACCTATCCAAACAATGCCGACAAGACGTGGATCGTCAGCACTGAAGAGGATCACAAGATTGCCATCACCTTCTTCCAGTTCAGGGTCGATACGAACTTTGACGGCGACTTCCTCCAGATTGGCGACGGTACGAACGTCACTGCGAACCAGTTCTTCGAGGAGAATGGGTTTACGCTCCCGCCCAACCTGCTGTCCAATGGGAATGAGATGTGGATGCGATTCATTACCGACGACAGGTTGGCTGATTCTGGGTTTGTGCTGGCGGCTGCCAGTGTTCCCTCGACAGGTATGCAATAGGCCATTTATTCGCAAAATTGTATTGTTAATGTTGATATTATTTTCTGTTGTAGGATACATTGGGACATCCGAAAATGCTGCTCTGAAGTTGCGCAGCCTGTCCTTTTTGCCTTTAAGCTCAAACAAAAAATGTTACTTGTGGAGCTTGTTTTTTTGTTTTTTTTAAACAGATCAAAGCATTTTTTGCCCTAGTCCGAAAATTTGGGACTCTCAATACATGCATACTGTGTTTGTTAGTCCCAAAACTAAAGGTATTGAAAATATGCAATACGAGAAAATAGACTGGCACCTGAAACAGCCAGTCCAGCACACCCTTCAGTACTGCATCAATCAATATGCCAAAAGTTACGAACCAACTGTGGCAAATTGGAAATAGTCTCTAGTTACTACACATTTCCCCATAGTCAGTCACCAGACTAATGACACTGAATAAGGAGGTCAGCTTTTCAAACAGTTGGACCATGGTTGCACATGTACCAGTCTAGTATTTAGCCTCATTTTGAAATTACCTGCCTAATGACTTCCCTCTCACGTGTAAAATATTGAAGAAAATGTTTCCTTTAGCAATTGTATTGAGTCTTCAAACTTAGTTTTGTGGAATACTGCACTCTAAAAACTGTGTTTAGCAATGAAACACAATCTTGCTATCACTTTGTAAACATGTTTAAACGCTAAACATTACGTGTCCAATTCCTAAACACCAATGTTCAATGGCTAAACACTTTCCATCCTTACGCTAAACATGTTTAGTATTTAAACATGTTTACAAACTGATAGCAAGAAAGTGTTTAGAAAAGTTTTTACTTGCTAAACACACTTTTTACAGTGTGAGGACCTTGTCTTTGCCTCGTGAAAATTTTGGAGAAATTTGCTTTCTGTAAGGTGAGTAAAGTTGGCCTGACCTAGTTTTGCACGTTTCAGAGCACTCCAGGTACCAGTCTTATATTGGGCTAACTGCCCTCTCAAAAACGGTCCCAACGATGACCTGTTGCAACTTTTACCATCCTGATAGGATGAGTAAACAAGAGAAAAATATGCTATTCCCAGTTAATCCGCCTTCTGGTGATAAAATGCTTCAAGGACACCCCCTAATCCTGTGACATTGCAGGGAGAGAAATGAGTTCCAAACTCATACTTATTGTGAAGATGCACACTTTCTTTGTAATCGAAAAACTGCGTGATATCACAAACTTTAATTTATTGAGTGGTAGATAAGCTTTCTGTCCTTAGAATAGAGCTCGCTATGGCCATTTTGTTTTCCATACCCCAAAATCCCTCAAATCGTGGGTAGCATATAGCAAATATATTGTTTTATGATAACAGCGCCAGATGTGGCACAGAGATAGACCAAAATCATATCAAGAAACGTGGATCAGACATGCGTGCATAATGCATCGATGATAATTTCATGTTAACAAGGAGTGACAAGGAACAAGCTGGTTAACAGTTAGAGGGGTGGTGGTGGGGGGTGGACTATCAACGATATGTATGCACATTGATGTCTATTATGTGGAAATGGGTGGAAATATTTTATGGGAAGACCATTAAGGTAAAATACAGAGCACATTTAGGTACATTTGCTAAAAGAAATATATAGGCCTTTGCAGTGGAATAACTTTTTTTTCTGGGGGCGGAACATGAACCCCCACCCTTTCCCCCATGATCCTCCCCCCCCCCCCCCACCTTCCAAACAAGAACCCCACACTTTGTTCCAAAATAGGACAAAGGCACAGGATTACCTCGAAGTAATATATCTTCAGAGAACACGAATGCGGATAAACTTGGGACCAACCATATTTTGTCTTGTTTACCCATCCTATTGGGATGGTAAAGAGTTGCAACAGGTCACGATGGGACCATTTTGGAGAGAGCATTGGCCCTACATATGATTTTAGCTGTTTTTCAAAAACAATGTGCCCAACACAACAGTTTTTGGAGCTGGAAGGCAAAAGTATCGGCTGTGCAACTTAAACCTGCGCAGCGTTTACAAGATTTTTTTATCCGAAGTCGCCAACTGCGTACCTTTGGGACGTAGGTACCTCCCCCACTACGCAAGACCCTATCCATGTCAAAAAAAAAACGTGCCAGACAGTGTCCAGGCATTTGCCAGACAGGGCACTTAAAAGATAATTGACTGGTGGCTGCGGTTTGCGGCTATGAAGGGAGATGGCTGTGTCAAGTTACAGGTGTTTGTATATGTTTCAATGAGACTTGGCAGGAGGCCTGGTCCCAAGGTTGTTGACACCGCTCGGGTGAAACCCTGGCTGCAGAGTTCATTGAACCAGCTGATTTGGCATGGGTTAAATGAGGATTAGATGGAAGGTGAACGTCATTGGCCCTCAATTTTTTTTCACAAACTTCGGTCACCTGAATACCCGGGGTACGCAGGTCACTCCGCGCAGGGTTAAGAGCACCAACAACAGCAAATAATAAGATTAATCATACAATTTTGAGATTAAATAGCCATATTCCAGTAGGATATAAACATCAACTCAACTGTCCTTTCAAAACTTGACGTTTTTGTGTTATTCCTGTATAATGCGTGCGCGAACGAATTTCGGGGTCCACTTTTGCGACCCCATAAATTCGAGCTGTTTGGATACTAGTTGTGACTTCATTCGTAAAGTGTTCGCCTTTTGCGGACGTTGAAGAAACCACTTTTATTGCATTGGTGATTGTATGGTCACCGCTGTTCCCGAGAATATCACAACGTGTATATCGTACACTGAGAACGACACGAAAAACGTATTCGTACTCCGTCGCGACCGATGTAAACAAACAGGGTTTTTTCGTCTTTCTCGGGAACGGTAAGGCATTAGGTTGGTTTCCTTTCAACCAGATGTTTGAAATAAGATAAGTAAACGATCCAAAACATTAATTTTTTTCGGGGATTTCAGGACCTAGTGCCCCTTTAAAAGAAAGCTTATGGATTGGGCTTTCATATCCTATCCTAGATATTGAAAGTGCTACATGCAGAACTTCACCAAAACAAATTGTCCCGACATTTCGATTCCGTTTTTTTTTTTTTTTTTTTGGGGGGGGGGGTGTTTTTTTTAACTCACCCAGTAAATTCTAATAATACCCATTCCTATTGGTTGAGAGCCCGTCACAGCTCGGCCGGTTAGGGGATTTAATGTGTCTGATACAGAGTGTTTCATACCGACCAAGCACATATTTATTCCCATTCATAAATACCTTTTCGGTCAACCAAATCAAAACTTTTCGGTCAAAAAACCCAATTTTGTTCAACAAATTCACTTCAGGTTTTTGAAACACCCCTATAGCTATATAATGGAGTGTCCAGCTCGCGAGTAAGATGTAAACAATTCATTTTATGGAGATTGGCGCACGCGTCGCGCGTACTGCACCTGGGCGGGCGTTGGGTTGTGAATGCCTACGTGAGGATTGTGAACGCTCAACCAATAAAACGGTGAGTCCTAATTTCATGTGAACTAAGAAAAGTGTTTAAGACCAGCTAGCCATGTCCTTATCATCCGTTTAAGACCGGCCACGTGACGGGTTTTCAACTACAAAGAATGGGTTAACGGTCTCAGGTATTTTTACGTTCAACCAATAAAACAGTACTTGCAACGGATTTTATTGCAAGTACTGTTTTATTGGTTGAACGTTCATATCTCTACGTAGGCATGCGCAATACTACCAGTGAGTCAGTATTTTTTATAACACCTCACCCACAGATTCTGTGTCTTGATTGGCCGAGAGCGAGTCACATGGTACTTTCTATTTTTGCCTTCTTTCAGTGAACGGCCCAAAGTACTATATCTTTAGCAACCAAAGTTCTATATCCAGGGCGCGGTATTTATCTGCAAATGCATGCAGGTGTGCGTGTATTGTTCCAAAGAGTGCGGGCCGCAGAGTTTGGTTCAAAAATATTCATTTCGAATTTTGGTCTACTTTATTCTTCGTGTTTATTCTCCGTTTTAAAATGCTGGTGCACGTTGCTAAAGAAAAACCTTGTATCGAGTTGTTTAAGTGCTATTTGCCTCCGAATTAACACAGAGTACATGTGTATAGCCCCTAAGCCTCCATCAACCTACATAATGATGATTATTTTGAACTTTTTTTTCTCGTCGTTGTTGCCTTGTCTTTAAATTTAAATCCACGGCAGTTTTTAAAGGAAAAAACCCAAAACATTTTTTTCTCCATTGTCCCTCCTGAGTCCTGAGGACATAACATTATTCAAATAATGAATATTTGTGAGTGCAATGGTAAGAATAATTTCATGAGGTGAAAGATGAAATGTTCCATTCCACGAGGCGAAGCCGATTGGAATGGAACATTTCATCTGTCACCGAATGAAATTATTCTTTCTATTGCACAAACGTAAATCATTTGTTATTTGTTTAATATAACACCTGAATAAATCCTCGTCATCTGATTGGTTGACTTTTAATAGCCAATTTATTCGAGTTAAAAATTGTTTACAAGTTTGACAAGTTCAGAGTTATCATAATTTAATTAATGTAAACTGTTCAACAGGTTAAGAACTATCATATTCAATTTATCTCAATTTGAAACTTTTCCATAAGTTTAGAACTTAAACAGTTCAATAAGTTCAAAACTTTTATTGCCAATTTAAACACCACAGCGCCACCTTCGGCAACATGTGCAGTGACAGTGCAATGGTACTTCTAATCACGGTGCAATAGTACTTCTATTGCACTGTGCGCTGCACGCCACGCGCGCGCCGTGCATCGGTACGAATAATTCAATGACATGTGATCAACGATCCACCAATCAGATGACGGGGATTTATTCAGGTGTTGTATAAACGCCGTTATCGGATACATTTTTGCACTGTTGGATATCTTCACCAATAAAATGAAACAAATAAATATGTATTATTGTGCTCTCCTCTATTGGTGTATCCAGCATCTCAAAATCTTCAAGAAGGGGCCAGAATCTCACAATTTTGGACAACATGGGTAGAGCGCATGATATTTAAATAAACTTGAGGAGTTAATTAGATTAAAACAAAAATTGTACAATTTACCCGTCTCGTTTCCCTATGAGTAGCCGTCGTTTTGTTGGCCCGTTGCAAAATATAAGTCCCCCCCCCCGATTTCGCTTCTACCAGTTTTTCCGATTTCGCTTTTAAGATCTCCTAGCCTGATCACGCCACAGCTCTTTGCGTCAAATTGAGGTCAAATTGTCCGATGCTTTTTGAATAAGCACAACAAACACCCCCCCCCCCAAAAAAAAAAACACACACACACCCATTCTGGAATTTGTATTCCTGTGGAGACATTTCTTTGTTCTCGTGTAGTAAAGTTTTCGAGTTTGAAATTGAAGTTTCAAAATGCTCTCATTTTAACCAGAATTAATTTCCTGGGCTGAAATTTGGACTAAATATCCCTTTTCTAAAACTCTTCCATTTGCGACAAATCAACCTACCTTGGAGATTCCTAGTTTTTGAGTAAAATCCATATATCTATTTCGTGAAATTCTTGTGGAGACGTATTCATCTATACAAAATGTTCTTCTGGAGACGTATACAATCTTTTGTTCCCTATTGTGTTCATGTCTCCGTAAGGTAGTAAATTCCAGCACCCACCCACACACACACCCACACACACACATCATCATCATCATCTGTACCCCTCAACCCATCCTCCCAAAAGGTTCGAATCCGCCAATGCATTGAGAAGCAGAGAAGGAACATTATGGGAGTGTAATTTATTCATTCTCAAACGCATTTTTAAATTTTCAGGGCAATATTAATATTGTCATTAAAAGTCTTACACATAAAATCCAATACAGTTGTTTTTACATTCCACGTTTTCCTTCTTATTGTTTAAAACATTGTTTTTATTAGTTTATCAGATAAGCAAGCCATTTATTTGGATATTTTCAGCAATGCGCACCGCCATTTTGAAACGAAAAATAAATACAAGGAAAAAATGGAGCAAATTTCGAAGTAATTATCCAGCTTGCTAATGCATTTTGAATTTTGTCGAAGACATAATTACTACTGGTCAGAAACTTTGCTTTTACGGACATAAAAATCCACGTTTGTGCACAAACCTACGGGAATGTAGGTGCGTTTAACGCATGTTTTGCCCCACGCACTTTTGCGCTAGAGCGTCCATGAGGGAACGGGGAAATTTGTGCACACCTTATGGTGCGTACGCACGCGCTGCCGATTTAGTCTTTTTATTCTTTATCTATGGGTTCAAACATTTCGTGAAGGGGTAGTTTGGAAGAGATAAATATATTGTCCACCAATTTTGTATTGAATTGAAGTTTATTTCAACTGTGTTCAGATTTAAATAATTAAAGATATTAAAACCAAACAGAATCGGTGGGTGAAATGTTAAAAAACAAATATTGAATGTTTTATCTCGTGGTGAATTAAAACTAGCCTCCCTCGGTGATCCATGGAGCATTCTATTTTCCCTTGGCTTCGCCTCGGGAAAAAAAGAATGTCCATGCACTCAGTTGCCGTGTCACGCGTAGCTCCTCTATTTTCTCGTCCACACAACTGATAGTAATGCGAGGCCAGCGAACAATGGCCGTAAAAAGGGCTTCAGAAAATTTGCAATTTCCATGGCAAACCATAACCGATCCAAACAAACAAATTTGCTTTAGGTAGTTTAAGACTTACTTCATACATCTATCAAGGTTTTTTCTCAAAAATGAAGGATTTCGATGCATTTTGACTATATTATTTCTCGGACAAATCGACTAAAAGTTACGTCGTGAAATTTCCGGTTTTTTTCCAGGAAGACGAAAGTCTCCCAAATGTTGAGGTAATTAAACGAAAGAGTGAACCTTCATCTACAAAAAAATTTCGTGAACGTGATGTCGTTATTATTTTAAGAATTCGATGAACACCTTTGTTTCCAACAACTTCCATTTTTCACAACGCGAAAAGATCGCCGCCATTGTAAAGCATACAGCGAGGAACCCAAATATGGTGTGACCTTGTGACCCATACACCCACTGATTGGTCGAGCTCAAGTATGAGCCTGCTTAATATTCATAAGTCATTCATTGCGCGTTCGCGCGTACGTGCTACTCACAATGTTTTCAGGCCAACGTACATTTTGTACGTCGGCGTACTTACATTCGTTTACGAGCGTACATGTGATTGCAGATCATGAAATCTCGCAAAAGTCTTCATTTTTCAACCAGCGATTTGGACCAAACATTAGAAGTCTCCTGCAGGTGTTTCACATGAAAATGTAGCGTATACTTTCCTCTTTCTACTAAGCCTTGCCATTTGTTTCGGCCTTTTTTAAGAATCGAATGTACACCTAAAAACTATCGGCCCTCGATTTTGTTGATAAAAAAATATAATTTTGTTTGACAGGCCATAACAACACTTTATACTTGTCAAAAGCAATTATTTTTGTTATCAAAATAAAACACACGATTTCAACTTTTCACTTATTTAGCCATCTTGGCCAAACAGTGCATGTACCTATTGTGTTTTTTTGTAGTCTCGAATAAATCTCGTAAAATCTCGCGTACGCTTATGGGCCATGCGTGCTTGACTTCGGGACGAGAAACTGAGGTCAAACAGGGCTGTGTGCGTGACACGGCTACTGACTAATGGATCACCTCGTGAGGCTAGTTGTACTACACCACTCGAAGCATTCAATATTTGTATACTACACCGCCAACCCTGCGTTTTGCGCCACAAGTATAGTTTTTTGGCTCGAATAGTTTCAATTTTTTTACCCGAATTAATTATTATTATCCAGACTCCAAGTGGTCTTAAAGAGAGTGTTTAAAACCGGCGAAGCACACGTTTATTACCTTAATAAAAAAAAAGTGATAATCATTGTTTATAAGTATAAATCTTGCTAAAGACATGTCTGTGTAAACTACATTTTGCGGGAAAATTCAAAATGGTTAAGCAAGATTATTGTATGATGCGTATTTGATCCCCGTTGGATCAGTGCACTCTTTTGACAAGAGTCCGTTTCCAATTCCATGGCACAAAAAGTCAAATTATGTCTTTGTAATACTTCAAGACAGATTTGATTGGCAACTTCCACCTGTGAAAAAAAAACATGTCTGGCATCTTTAAGGGTGTTCCTTCTTAGAAAACCTGGCTGTGCTTTTCAAAATAGTTTCATGAATGTAGCTTCCCCCCGTCATGGCCCTTGCCCATGTTTAAGTTTTCTGTCTTGCTCTGTTTTTCAGAAATGTTGGCTTGTTCTCGTACTGAATTGGACTGTGGACATTACTGCATCCGTGGCACCCTGCAGTGTGATCGTGAAGCTGACTGCTTTGGAGGAACGGATGAACTAAATTGCGGTAATAAAGAGTCAGCTAATGAAAACGTATAGAGATAATAACAAGAACTGGAAAATATTTTGTGCAACTTTTTCATTCCTGTGATATGAAACTGGTTTGACGTCACTTTTTGTTTAACTTTTTTTAAGGGCTCTGTAACATTTTCCATACATTTCCATTATTCTGAGGGCGCTATTGATGTGACGTCACATGCTCTTCAGTTAAGGGGTTGTCTGTTCAAATTGTGAAACCAAACATTCTCAGTGCAAACATTTTGTGCGTAAATTTAAGGTTGCTCATCAGTGATTTACTGTAATAGTAAAACAACATTCATAAATACCTCAGACAGTTTAGCTATTCCTATTGGTCGAGAGCCCGTCATGTGGCCGGTATTAAACGGATGATAAAGACATGGCTAGCTGGTCTTAAACACTTTTCCAGTGTCACAATAAAATGTGGACTCCTAAAAATCCAGTGCCTCTTACCGTTTCATTGGTTGAACGTTCACAATCCTCACGTAGGCATGTGCAACACTACAAGCGAGTCAGAATTTTATAGTTCTAAATTCAAAACGCAACGCCCCAGGTGCGTTCTGCGTGACATCGCGCAGAACATGTTACGCGCGCGTCAATCTCCATAAAAGGGTTGTTTACATCTTACTCGCCAGCTGAACACTCCATTATTTTGCTAGAGGGATGTTTCAAAAAGCATGAAGTGAACTTGTTGAACAAAATCGGGATTTTTTGAACGAATTATTTGAAAAAAATTTACGGATAAGGTATTTATGAATGGGAATAAATATGTGCTCGGTCGGTATTTATCACTCGTTTAATACCGCTTAGAGTCTGGGTGCTGATAATTACCCTCGCCTCCGGCTCGGGTAATTATCAGCACCCAGACTCTAAGCGGTATTAAACGAGTGATAAAAACCTCCAGAGCACACATTTATTCCCTTAATAAATCAACATCCTATATTAAGTTAAAAGATCCTACACTGTCTTTCTGTCTGTCTGTCTGTCTGTCTGTCTGTCGGGCTGTCGGGCGTGCTGTCTGTCTGTCTGTCTGTCTGTCTGTCTGTCTGATGTCTATCTGTCTGATTGCGCCTCAGGTTTCTATGCGCCCCTCGGTTGTTCAAAACGTCACATTCCACATCACAGCAGTCATTGTTTTGTTTTACCCATGCATTGAATTCTTTTGATATTGACGTAAAATAACGGAAACAAACAGCAGTAAACACAACAATCATAACAATCGAACAGAATCTCACGTGCATGGGGCGTACTCGAAATAGCTGATTGTCTGCTAGTTCGCTAATCGTATTTATGCGTTTCACACTGCACCGTACGTACAAAGTCATAGCACGGACGATGCTATTACTAGTGTATTTTTATTGGCTGTTTCGGCAACCGGCCAAAAAAGCCTTTGTTTTTGTTAAGAATTATTTTTTTTGGGGGGGGGGGGGCTTTTTCGCAAATTTGCGAAAAAGCCTTTGTTTTTGTTCTGATTGATTTTTTGCTGGCTTTTTCACAATTCAGCGAAAAAGCCTTTGTTTCTGTTCTGATTTTTTTTCTCCCTAGTTTCTTCCTTTTGTTCCATGAAAAATCCCATATACTTTGTACACGATTTTTGTACACGCCACTTTTGGCATTGAAATTTGTCAAACATCATTCAAATTAAGCATAAACATTGTCCTTATGGCAAAGTCCCGAAGTGACGTCATGATTACGTCATCAGGGGTCACGTGACGTCATCACAAACGTGCATATTTTTAAGTCCTATATTTCATGAACAGTCAGTCCGATTGAGCTGAAACTTGGTATGTGGGTAGAAAGGGATGTGTTATAGATAAAAATGAGGTGATGTGATGAGGACGTCATCGTGCGATTTTATATTATTTTTTTTTGGTTTTGGACCTTTAAGCCATATCTCACGAACGCAACATGCTAAATTGACAATTCTTTTGGTATTTGGTTTGTTAGGTCATAGGCATATGCACAGAAGTTTGAAAAATGTGTGACGTCATCATGACGTAATCAAAAATGCGATTTTTTTTTTTTTTTTTTTTTTTTTTTTTTTTTACACATATAAGGGAAGATCTGATCATCATGAAACTTGCTGGGTAGGTAGATAATGGCTGCAGAGTGTACATTAAAAAGACTGCAAAACTGCAAGAATAAAGACAATGGACACTGGTTTAGCTTGGTGTGGTGGTCAATGTTCCTCACTCATCGAAGTCTTAGATCAGAATCACAAAACAATAGTAAAAACAAATGCACAAAATAACTCAATAAGCATGATTCGAAAATCGACTCTGGTATCGATAATAATATCAATTCTGTCCTGCTTCTGAATAAACATAATCAATTCTATCACCTTAATCGATACTGACCATATGTCTCAACCTCATTGTTTATCTCTAGTCAAAGACTGACTTACTACTAATTAGTTATGCATGAGTGCTTCCCATGCTGTGCTCTAACTATCAAAGAATTCATGCACATGTACACTACATACATGTCATCCAGCAGTACAAAATGTCCTAAGGCCAAAAAAAAAAGTCTCCAGTCTTCTAGTATGGAGCTTGCCCAAAAAGTGGTGCGGCGACGCGGCTTTTTTTTTATACCTGATTTTTTTGCTTCAAATGTCGGCTGATGACTGCAAATGGTGCCCGACTAAGCTTAATTAGTGCAAATATATGGGAGTCCAGAGAGGCCACATAAAGCTTATTCTCGATCATAACCCCATCCATAAACACGTTGAAATTGTGCAGCAGCAGGATTCCAGTCAAACCAGTGAGTTTGGCGGTTTTTAGACATCATCTTTCATTAAAAAAAAACCTTTTTCATTTTGCCGACGCGCATGGCTACGGCGACGCGCGCGCATACCAGAAACCGGAGACTTTTTTGGCCTAAAGTACATGTATGAAATAAGCCAAAAAAGAGGTAAAGTCTGTAATAGGGAAATCTCTGTCTTCAATAAAATAAAGTAAAAAGGAGTAAGCAAAGGAATTGTTCTTAATTATTCTTAACAATTTCAAGCGTGAAAGCTTGTCACAATGTCACTCTCCATAGAGTGGGACAATAGAAAAGTTATAAATGGCACCGTCAAAATTAGCAACTTAATATCTCTAGGAGCAATCTAGACTAAACTTGGGCGGATAGTACTTTCTTGTAAGTACCAAGTTACAAAACAGTTGAAGGGAATGCCATACCTGTCTAACTTATCTTGTCCATTAAAAGACAATCCAGAAATTAACAATGGCTACACGTAATTAGCAGGCAAAACAGGAAACATTAATGAAGGCAAAACTGAGTAAAGGCTTAAGTTTTGTCTCTGTACTCTGGCACACTCTGACCATGTGCTTTCCTTAAAGACAAAGAAGCTAAGAGTTTAGCAGGCTCTGGCAACACTTTTAACTAAGCTTTACATCCTGACACAAAATGTACATGTTTCCTCTCTTCACTTCCATAATCATCAAGATGAAAATAAAAAAAGAATACAACATACCTGCAAGAATAAAGACAAATGAACACTGGTTTAGCTTGGTGTGGTGGTAAATGTTCCTCACTCAGCGAAGTCTTAGATCAGAATGACCCAAGAACAAAGACCATCACACAGCCCTCCAGTGCCCCACAGGAAGTGACATCATATCCTGCCACATGTACCCAACAGCTTGTCCTGTGAGGGTGGGGTATCACACATGAAACAGTAGTTGGTACACTCATGTACTGATAAACATTAAATGCAAATGTGGTTCCAAGAAAAGTGTGGGAGGCGGAACATTAAAAAAATGGGGGGTGTCACAATACTACAACAGTACCAGTATGCAAAATCCTAAATGACGTCACCATGAGTTTTTTATCTTTACAATTTCATTTCGCTCCCCAAATTTAACACTTCCTTACATCGGATTGACTTCAAACTTGGTACAAACCAAGACCACAATGCAAAAATGTCAATTGACAAGTGTTATCAAGATGACGTAATTGTAGGGCATGTGACGTAATCATAAATGTGCATTTCTCATAGTCTCATATTGAGAAAACTATCAGTCCGAATGGGTCAAAATTGCGTATGAATATAGGCGGATACGTACGTGGTATACAGGTGATTTTACTTGAAGACATGATAAAACATCATCATGTAACTGTATATCATAAATTTGAACAAAAAGTTAATTTTTTAACGATTTTTTAGGCATGATAATCTTCTGCAGATCCGTGGATTTTGAAAATTTGGAAGAAAATTGATGATCTTCCAAACTTTTGTAAAACTGGTGTACAATTTATTAAAAGAAATATTATATCTGATCCGCACCTGACTTTCTTTACTTATCCTCTGCAAAATTACTATATGCACTGTTTTTCAACATTATTTTAGTAATCACGCAAATAATTGCACGAGCTTCTACATGTTGAATTCAGTCACATTATATATTGAGCACGTTAGCCTCTGTTAAAGGCTGAAAGGATTATTACAATTTTAAGTGCACGTACGTACGTACACAGCTTACGTATAACTGCAGAAACTGTCGTCTTGAAATAAGGACTATGCACATGCGTAGTGAGTGTTCATATCGGCACTTTATCTAGCACACTGTAATTTAACTTTCGGCCGTTGTAAATGTATTGTGCCACTTTTTACTGCCAGGCCAAGTGCATATTTCATGAGTTGTGACTGGTGAACATCGTAAACGGTGTATGGTATAAATATTCACATGCATTGGGGGCCATTCGCTTTACAGAATTTTATTTATGAAACTATCTATCTGTATCTATCCCCAAACAGGCATGACAAGCGCGAACTTTAAACACAAAGAAAATTAAATACCGTTTCTTGATTCAATGTCAAAGAGATGACTTTTAGAACACTGAGGGTAAGTTATCTTACTATATCTATCTGTATAAAAAATAACGGGTTGAGATTTCATTTATTTAATTCATGTGATTGGGACTACGTGCACTAAAACTACATGTACAAGGATCGAGGAACATATTCACAGGTGTTGATAAAAAAAAGGTTTGAATCATTGGGGGTTTTGGCAACTGTCTAC